GTTGAGCTGTTGGTCAGCATCTTAGCTGTAGAGGGCAGTGTCACTGGTCCTCATATGTGGGATCCAAACCGGGGCCCTCTGGCATCCCAAGCCAGCTCTTAACCAACGTGCCACTCAGCCGGCCCCCTGCTTTACATTTTTAAAAAGAGCACTTTGGCCATTGTATGGAAATCGGATGGAGGGAACAGAGTCAATACAGTGAGTCTGGTCAGCAAGTTATTGTAATAGTGCAGTGAAGAGGTGATGGCTGCTTGGATTAGAGCAGTAGAAATGGAGATGATTCACAATAGGTTTTGAAGGTTGAGCCCTCAGGACTTTTGATGAATTGGATGGGGGATAAAAGAGACATGAAAGATGTATGCCTTGGGAAACTGGATGGTTGGTGGTGTCATTTATTGGGATGGGGAAGACTTGGCAAGGAACAAGTTTGGGACCTAGGGGACGCATTTAAGACATGTTTTCTACATGTTGCGTTTCAAATGGCCATTGACCTCCAAGTAAATATGTTAAGTTGAATATAATGAACCTAGAACCAGGGGACAAATTGGAGATGTAAATTTGGGGGTCATTAGCATATAGATGGCATTTGAATCAATGGGAGAGCACCATGAAATCACATGGAGAGACACAGGAAGGGGAGAAAAAAGGGTCCAGTCCCTGGGTTACTCCAATATTTAAAGGTCCAGTCTAGAAGAAGATATGAACAAAAGAGACTGAGATAGGAGGAACTACTGAATCATCTGATGTCCTGGAAGCCAAGAGCAGAAAGTGCTTCAAGGAGATAATGGTCAACTGTGTCAAAAGTTGCTAAGTCAAGTAAGATGGCCATTGGATTTGGCAAGATGGAGGGCTCTGACATATCTCAGTGAAGGTAGAAGCCCGTTTGGATTGGGATTGAAGAGGAACGGGGAGGTGAAAGGAGGTGAGTACGGATAATTACAATAGTCATGTTTGCAGAGAAATAAGGGAAAGGGAAGGAAATAAAGTTAAAGGATAGTTTTTTGGGGGGTTTGGCTTCTTTGAGATAGGACACACTAGATTCTGTTTGTATGATGAAGGGCATGATCCAATTAGAGCAGAAAACGGCTTTTGCTTGGAGAAGGGACATGCTTCCTTTCAAATAAGAGGGAAGTCAGGGCGTTTAAGTAGAGATGCAGGTAGGCAACTACGTGGGAAAATAAAGTTCTAGAGCGATTCCCTACTCAGTAGGGTTATTTCTAGCATTCGGTCTCATCCAAGCTGAAGGTCTGGTGAAGGCTCCAAGTCCTACCCCGCCGGAATAAACGCGCGCGCGCGTTGCCCGTTTCCACCAAGAGGGGGCGCGCGCAGCCTCAGAGGTAGCTGGTGTAGCTAGGCGGTTCGGGCTGCCACAGCCCCTCCGGGGCCGGACTGGCCGGCGGAGGGAGGCCCCCCCAAGGAGACAGCTTACGGGGGGCCGACGAGATGGAGGTCATAACCAGTAAGTGAGAACCGACTTCTCTGCCTTCCAGCCCGATTCCCGGGCCCTTAAACTTGCCCCGACGGTCTCAGCCCCACTGTCAACCGGCGCCAGCTCTTGGAACCCGGGGCAGGCCCTGCTAACTCCCAGCCGGGGTCCAGCATCCGAAGAAGCCCCGCCCTCGGGCCTCCAAGCCCCGCCCCTCGGAGGATCTTGTCCCTTTGTGTTCCTAATTAGGCGGAGAGAGACCTTCCTCCATTCCCCAGTGGATCTGAGCATGTCATTTTTTTAGGTCTAGACCCCAGAGGACAGCGAAAGGGAGAGTTGAACCTGAACATCAAGGGCATATTGGGGAAGTGGAGGATGGTCAGCCCCCCACAAAATCCCACCCCAGGCCCTAGGGCCTTTACCCTAATGTGACATCTGTGTGTCCCCAGCTAGACTGTAAGCTCCCAAGGGCAGATGGCCTCTGTACTGTTCAGTAGTGGATATAGAGCAAGGACTCTGTTCCTTTCAAATAGGAAGGACGTCAGAAAATCTCAGTGGAGAGATGCTTGGGGCTTGGCATAGAGGTGATGATCAATTAATACTGTTGAGTAGACCAAGGAGAGGAGACAGCTGGGATCATTCTAGAGAAGACTGGCAAAAGATGTGCCCAGAGCTGCACATGCGAGCTTGGGAAAGTAGGGCAGGAGACCTTCCCCCCTGCCCCCCAAGACACCTTGCCCACTCAGCATTTATAGCTGTAGTACGTCCAATTTTTTTTTTCTCAAACATCTGTGTTCTGTTCTAATTTTTTTAAATACCCAAACATGTAGTTCTGTATCCATAGTACTCAGTAAAAGTTTGTTGAGTAGATGAACCCCTGCCTCATTTATGAATACAGCAACTATGTATCAAGCTGCATTATGCCAGGTACCGTGACAAATCCTGGAGCTATAATGCTGCGCAAAACAGACATGCTCCCTGCCTTCATGAAGCTTATAACCAAGGGAGGGGAGGACCAATGTGTCTCACTCACACACACACACACACACACACACACACACACACACACACACACCGCAATGCAAACTACAAGGTGCTTTGAGAGCATTTAATAGAAGATTTGCTTGGTGTTTTGATGAGATGGGCGGGGGGCAGACAAGGGAAAGTTGAAATCTGAATGGTGAGTAGAATGAGCAGGAATTCTGGGGGTGGGATAAGGGCAGCGTGACTTGCCAAGGGTTTGGGAGAAGGTTCTGACCCTCCCAATCCAATCCTTATTCCCTAATCCTGGCTCCCAAGTTTTGAATTCTCTATGGTGTCAGTGCCTTTTACTCTCTTTCCACTTTTAGGTTCTCCTGATCCCAGATGGTTACCCATGTTCAGAAACCCTGAGATGCTCCACAGATAGTGAGAGCTCTGAAACATTTATGTAAATTAAAATCTATTATGAAATATAGGCTTGTAAAAATTTAAAGAGCGCCAGTATATGTGATGTGGAAAGCGTAAGTGCCCTTATCTCATGCTATCTTGCTCCTCAAAAGGAGCTACTCTTTATGGTCTGGCCCATGGATCTTTCCAGATCTTTTTTTTATGTTTTTGTATATTTGTGTTATGTATGTAATTTTTTCTTTGCAAATATAAGATAATACCATATATTTTATAGCTCATTTTTTTCTTTCTATTGAAGTTAGCATGTTATAGAAATTTTTTCATGTCTTCTCTAAATCTGCCACTTTCTTTTAAATGGATGCTGATATTTTACTTATCTCATCAATTTAAACAATCCCTCATTGATCGACATTTATTTTGCCATGTTTGGTTATCATGCGATGAACCTCTGTTTGAATTTCAGCTGTGAACTCTAAATACATATTCTTTGGGGGCCAGTACTTACCTCAGGCAGTTCATGGAAGTTCTGAGGCCCTATAATTTCTAAGCCCCCAGACTGACTGGATGAAAACAATCTGTAAATTTTTTTAGCGAGGGAATTTTAGGAAAGACTTGGGGAATCAGTAAAATACTATAAATTAAATTTGGTCTTTAACCGTCAGGTGATTCCTTACAAACACTTAATGCTTTTTGTTTGCAGTAGCCTAAATTGTTGCTTTTGGTGCCAAGTCACAAAATCTACTTTTTTACTGTACCGTACTACATAGATTCACTCTCTGTTCCCTTCTTAGGTATTTCTTCCCTTTATTTCACACCAGGTGAAGCTATACGTCTCTGATAGGGTAGAGACGAGGTTGTCAGCAGTTTCCAGATAAGAAATAAGCCTGCCTTTACCTTTGTACCTCTAGAACATGGTAGAATAGTTCACTTAATCCTCTTGACCATACCAACCTTTGGGTTTTGCAGGTGAGCTGCGGTCTCTACGGGAGGAGATTTCCCTGTTAGAACGTGAGAAAGAAAGTGAACTTAAGGAAATAGAACAGGAGTTGCATTTGGCCCGGACGGAGATCCATAATCTGCGACAAGCAGCCGAGGATTCTGCGACTGAACATGAGAGTGACTTAGCATCTCTGCAGGAGGACCTCTGCCGGCTGCAGAGCGAACTCGATGACATGGAGCGCATTCGGGGAGAGTATGAGCTGGAGATCACCTCCCTCCGTGCAGAAATGGAAATGAAGACCTCTGACCCATCCAGTAGTAACAGCCTCTCAGATTTCTCTGAGATGCAAGGTACGCGAGCACAAGCCCTCTTCCTGGCCTGTCAGTAAAGGCAAGCAGAGGGAGACAGTGTGCAAGAAGATGGCGGAAGGTGGTCTTAAATCATGAATTGGGAACCTCTAGGAAAAACCTCCAGGTTGAACTCAAGACTATAAGGGAGAAAAACTTACCCAGATGTCACACAACCAGTCTATAGTGGTGTAAGGAATAGCAGCATGGAGATGTAACCTGAGAATTCTTTCTCAGAGAGCCTTTGGGCATTTGTTGATTGGACTCTGCCAAAGCCCTTCCTGGGAAAGGCTGGCGGATCTCAGTTCTGAGATGGAGGTACAGGGGCCTGTCACCTTGGGAAGCTCTCCCTGCTGCTCTGGCATCATGGCACTTTGCCCTAGACTGCTTTCTGGGGCAGGGGCTTCCAGCCCTGCTCCCAGGCCCCAGCATGCTAATTCTTAGGCTCCTTTAGCCCTCCCCAAAGTAGAAGCTTTAGAGGGCAACAAATCAGAGCACAAGACAGCTGGAGAGGAAGGGAGGTTATTTCTAGTAATACATGAGGTGCTCAAAAGCTCAGAACTCTGCTTTCAGACAGTGAGTCTCCCAGCTAGTTGCTAGGATTCATGACATCAGAGAGTATGCCTTTATTCTGAGGCTAGATTGATGATCTGGGTATAATGGGAGGCCCTATATTAGGCAAGGTCAAGCCGAGGCAAATCAACAAGGAACCAAAGAACCGCAGGTTTTCCCAGCTGTAACAAGCCTCTCAGAAGAGCCTTTGGGCTGGTGATGCTAGGAGAGGGCAGTCAGCCCAGGGGAAAGACTTGGGCTTGTGTTATAGACCTTGATCAGCATCTCAGCTCCACTGATTAGCAGGATGAACATAGTCTCGTTGTGATCTCTCTGGACCTCAGTTTCCAGATCTGTAAAAAGTGGTTAATAAAACTTTGCAGCTAGATGAGACCCTGGAACAGAAAAATGATTCCTTCGTTGTGACAAAAATACCCATTGTCAGATGTTAGCAACAGGGGAAACTAGGTGATAACTCTCCCAGAGAATTCTCCACTATCTTTGCAACTTCTCTGTGAGTCTAAAAGTAGTATAAAATTGAAAGCTTATTAAAAAAAAGAAAACCTTACAGGGCAATTTTGGGGATTAAATGAAATACCTAGCCTGTTGAAAGCACGCACACACTAACTGAATCCGAAGCTGAAACCGTCAAGTCTAATGTTTAGCACATGGCTGGTGTTCATTAAATATTAGTTTTCTTCCTTCCTTCTTTGGTAATCGTTATTCTTCCAAGGACTTCTGATTAGAATAAACACTAGAAGTGAATTTCAGGGTGTTGAAACTGACAGCAGGTAAGAAAGGCCTTGTGTTCTAATTAGAGCAAGTTAGTGTTCTTGAAATATCAGTAGAATTAGTATTCTAAGAGAAAGAATTCTTAATCCTGAAGAAACAAAACAGATATGGCTGTTTGTATATCACAGCATTGAAGAGTATTGGTACCTCGTACTTAGGGACCCGTGCTGGGGCATTTCAGCAGATCTCTGCTGATGCCTGAGCCTGATATGTGGGTCTGATTAGAATGAGCCCTCTGTCAGCAGATGAAAGATCATTAGAAAGACTTCCTGACCACATGCAGGCCAGTGTATTTGGTGTGGTGATAAAGGAAGTAAAAGGACATTCAGGACGCCGAGGTTGTCTCTGAAAGGCCAGGACTGGCAGTGTGACACCTGGCAGTTCGCATCTCTTTAGCTTTTTGTACTGAATGTGTAATGGGAAGGTAATCAAACAGTTCAGTGAAAACTTTAAATATAATAAACCAAACAACTAAACCCTCACAGTCTCCTAAAATCCCAAGACTCTGCCTTGGTTGGGGTTTTGAAGATAGGCACACAGGGCAGCTCTTCTGAGAAGATGAAAAGAAGGGCAGCCTCCTGAAAGAGGGCAAAGACCCATTGCAGTGTGGAATCTTGTGGGCCCTGCCTTCTAAGCCTCTGCATGTGGGACCTCTTCCGTCTTTAGTAAAAGAGGAGCTACAGCTATCTGCTCTCAGATTTTTCGGCAGGAATCTTGGGGACTGGTCATCAGTGTTTCCTCCCTAGGACCTCATCTCTCTCTGCTTGTCCTCTGCAGAAGAATTGCAGCAACTGCGGGAACGCTACCGCCTCCTGAACGAGGAGTACCGGGCTCTGCAGGAGAGCAACAGCAGCCTCACAGGGCAGCTTGCAGACCTGGAGAGTGAGAGGTATAGCCCGGAGGCTGGTGGGGCTCTGTGGGACTGGGCTTTTCTCCGAATGGAGCTGGTGAAGGCAGATGCCAGGCTGAGGAGCGTCCTTTTGCTCCTGGAGAACCGGTGCTTCCCATGGTGTCCGAAGCAGGCATGGGAATCCAGCCCAGTTGTCTAGGACTTGAGTGAGTTCTAAAATTTAGTTTTCTTCCGTTCTAGGCATTAGGGCCAGGTTTGCTGTGCCCTAAAGTAGATCAGAACTGATTCTTTTGTTGTCCACATGGACTTGATTCAGTCTAATAGCCTCCAGATTAGAGCTGGCTGGACACCATGCCCAGCCTCGAACCCAACTGGACTAGCACTCTTAGGGTCTCTCAGAGCCCAACAGGCCTTTGCAGATTGAGGAGCTAGGGACTTTTTCCATACTCTTCTAAGCATGTTTATCAGAGAGGTAAATCACAATAGAAGGCTCCTTACCATCTTTTGCCCAAAATGAAGGCATCAGGACCAAGCACACTTGGTAGGTGATGCCAGGCAGGGCCCTCTCCCAAACATGGCTCTGGGGTTCTGGATTACAGGACACGAAGAGCAACAGAAATGTGGCTGGACTCCCAAACACTGAAGAGTATGATGTCAGCTGAGTCTCAGACTTCAGAAATGGATTTCCTAGAGCCTGATCCGGAAACTCACTTGTTGCGACAGCAGCTGCTGGGAGCTGAGGAACAGATGCATGACATGCAGAACAAGGTAGGGGAAGCAGCCCCTTTCCTTGTCTCTTACCTTCTGCAAGTTCCTCCTGGAAGGAACTTCTCCTTTGACACGGGGCTGACGAAAGAGGCACCCACCACAGCAGGAGATAGTACCCTGGGGTCTTGCTTGCCTGGTGTAACTATCCTCCCACGCCTGTTCTTGGAGCGCATGTGGTACCTATAGTGAATCACCTTCCCGTTCCGTTTCCCGCACAGTGTAAGCAGTTGTGTTGTGAATTGCAAGAGCTACAGCATCATCGCCAGGCCAGTGAGGAGGAGCAGAGGCGGCTGCAGAGGGAGCTCAAGTGCGCACAGAATGAGGTGCTTCGGTTTCAGACTTCCCACCATGCCACCCAGGTAAACACTGACAGGAAGGGAGTTTGGGGAGGGCACAAGGGCCTCCATGGAGTCGCTGCTTCAGGGGAGGATGCACACAGAGTAAGGCTGTGCTCTGCTGACTTGCCCTGCAACCAGGGGTACAGTCCACTGGAGACCAATTGGAGAAGCCACATAGCATTGCCTTCTAGAAATGGTAGTTGCCACTGAGTGTCTGCCTCAGAGAAGAAACCAGACCAGTGACCTGTGGGAGCTCCTCAAGATGTCTGCATCTGGAAAAGAACCAAACTGGTCCGTAGAGGGGTATGCCGTTTCTTGAGAGTAACTGTTCTACCCACATCCTCCCCACCGCAGAACGAGGAGCTGAAGACCAGACTCTGTGCCCTGCAGCAAAAGTATGACGCTAGCCAGGATGAGCAGAATGAGCTCTTGAAGTCGCAACTCCAACTTCAGGCCGAGCTCCGAAAGCTCAAAGTCATGCAAGCCTCAGTTATAGAAACCCAAAGCGAGAAGGTAACAGCAACCGGAGGTGAGGGGCAACTTAGGTGCTAAGAGGCTTTGGGAAAGTGGGTGAAAGTAGAGAGTTAAGATGACTCCAGCCACCACCTGTGCAGCAGCACAGGTGAACTCCAGCCACCCTCGAGTGCTACGGTAGATGAGAGGACGACCAGTGAGTGAAAGGGCAGGGAGACGTCAGTTCTTAGACTGTCCGTGTCTGAGAGTGACTCAGGCGGAAGAGTGAGTGGCTTGAGGAGCCCAGAGGCACTGCCCAACGCCCCCCTCCATCACAGGAGTTACTGTGCCGGCTACAGAAGCTCCAGCTCCAGTACCATAACGTCACCTGTGAGAAGGACAGGCTGCTGGACGTGCAGCAGCAGCTGCAGGAGAACCTGCGGTATCACAACACAGAGGTCCAACGCCTCAGGGACATCGCGAACTGCTTCCAAGAGAGCTGCGAGAAGGTAAAAGAAGCTTCAGGCGAGGGAGAAGGTGGCAAGGCGGAAGCTTCTGTGAGAGGACTGGCACCGAGGAGGAGCGGGGATGGGAGCTCCATGGAGTAGCTGCTGCTGAAAGGGGCATGTAAAGGTGGTTAGCAGACAGGTGGCCTCGGCAACCCACGGTGCTCTCACCTTCCTTTGATTTTAAATCAGAAAGTCAGCCTCTAAAAAGGAAGCCCTTTCCCTTCCCCACTCCCCAAAATAGAAGCCCCAGAAAGCTCTGTGTAGAACCTGCTAGGGACTGGTCCATCCCAGGGAGCTTCCAATGGGATGAAATTGAGACTGGAAAGGACAGGGTAGGATCCCCTTAGTCCTTGCCTGAGAGGAGAGAGTGCAGCCACCGGGGCTCCTGGGATGATGGTGGGGCCTGCCTCCCCTGCCCCAGAACACAGCGATGCAGTGCCAGCTTCAAGAGATGAAACAGCTGTACCAGACCAGCAAGGATGAGCTGGAGCGGCAGAAGCACATGTACGATCAGCTGGAGCAGGACTTCCTGCTCTGCCAGCAGGAGCTGAAGGAGCTCAAGACCATCCAGCCCATCCCAGAGGACCAGGGAAAATGTGCTGATAAGGTAATTGTAATTAAGAGAGGTGAGGTCTCCTGGGCACTTCCTCTGGAGGAAGGAGATGAGGGCAAAAGATGAAGTCATCCATCCACCCAGTGGTGGGCTTTTGGCCAATCACAGCCGCATGTGGCAAGGCAGGAAACAGAGGCAGAGCCCCACGCCATTAACATTAAAACAGTTTGCCTTGACCTTGATGCAAGCCACAGTTTAGTAGGATCAGTACATCTGGATCCAGTCTGAACACCTGAAGGTTTTGCACATGATTTCATATCTTGTCATTCATGGAGAAGAACGTACACATAGGCCCGTATATGTAACTTTTATTGTTAGAACGAGAAAGAGAAGGTCCAGTTTTCTGAGGCAGCTTGCAAGGGCACCTGTCAGATTGCATGGTCTTGTGCCCAGAACACTGATTGGGTATCAGAAGGACCGAGGCTCTTCCAGGATTTATTCTGTGACTTCAGAGTAGTTAAGTCCTCTAAGCTTGAATTTTACCCTCTTTAAACTGAACAGAAGACTACTCTTATCTCACTTCCTTGGAGTAATAAATCCTGGTAGTGATAAATAAAGCCTTCCTTACTCATTTTCTTTTTTCCCCCATAATGTGTAAAATGCAAGTCGTTATCAGTTACCCTGTGTTGAGCACGGTCAGGATCACTGATAAGAAATGGAAAGGTGTTGAAGCATGATAGAGAACAGGCACAAGCTTCTCAAAAAAAATAGTGGAACAAGTCACATTCTGCCAGAATTCTCAGTAGCGCCTGCCACCGCCAGCAGCAGGCTGTGTCCCCAGGGAAAGGCCTTCAGGACACACAGAATTTGGGAAGGTTATTTGGGCTGCCCCAATAGTCCACCTACCTTTCTACACCCAGATTCCCATTTCCCACTTTCCCCGTTCCCACTCAGCATAGGGGCTCAGGAGGTCCATGCCTTGCTCATCGTAACCCCTCCTAGTGGAAGACGAAAAGCATGCTGGCGTGCAGAGCCAGCATTTTCTCTGGTCCTAAAACAGCCCTGAGATGAGTCTGATATTAGAAGATTTGGGTTTTTGGAATCCTGGGATGATTTAGTCTTCTCAACCCAAATTTAGCGATAGCACATACTTTTCTAAAGAATTTAAAAAAAATGATTATGAAGAGAAAAATAGAAAAAAATTAGGGTGAAATGAAGTCCTTATCGGTAAGGCGCATACTTAGGTATAAAAACCAATCGAGGATAATGAGAGTAACAGGAACTAGAATTCCCAGCAGGGTAGGAAAGTGGTAAATAAGAGAGGAAAGGGAGGCTGGGAGGTAGAAGGGAGGGGCGTTGATAGCACTCCCGCTCAGGATGCTCTTGGAAGAGACTAGTAGAAGAAACTTAGAGCACAGCCAAAAAGCAGTCCCCAGCAGCCTGCTGGGGTCCCCCATTCAGCGTCCCAAACTGTGTGGGCTCAGTGTGGCTCGGGATGACCAGCGCAGGGAGGGAGACCCTGGTCAATGGCAAGAAGCAGGGGACCCGGAAGTGCTCAGCCAGCCGCACAGGTGATCACCCCTCACGCTCGGCCCCATCCGCAGTGTGATGGGCTGCTGTCCAGACTGACAGAACTGCAGGAACAGTACGAGGCCAGCCAGAAGGAGATGGGGCAGCTGCAGATGGAACAGTGTGAGCTCCTGGAAGATCAGAAGAGGATGCAAGAGGAGCAGGGCCAGTTGCAAGACGAGCTGCACAGGCTCACCGTCCCGCTACCCAAATCCGGCCTCCTCCCCAAGGTAACCGCAGGCAGGGGGTGGCTGCCACCTGGACAAGCCACTTTGAGAAGCTTCCCAGGTGGGGCCATGCTTGGGAAAAAGAAAAGGGTGGGGATTTACCAACCACTGCTTACTTTTTCACCAAGCGCCTCAAACCAAAAAGTTGAATATGGCTGATTAGGGTTGTGCATCTTAAAATACATTTTATACTCTGGAATCTGTCCAGCATTTTATATTCAGCTGTTTAGTCCACCTAGAGAAAATGTACTTGAAAGCACTTTGTAAACTACAAAATATGTCCAAACTTACAAGTTCATTACTGCTCAACTAGCAGGCCTCCACAGAAGAGGGACTTCCCCCATCCCAGATGGGCTGTGCAGAGCCAACCCCGAGATCCCTAAAGGAAGGGTCCCTAGTAGGAAGAAGGCAGAGCTCTTCCCCGTGTGGCCGCCACAGGTCCTGCCCCCTTCCTCCCGCTCTACCTCACAGAGTCAGGAGCTACTTTCAAAGTTACAAGACCTGTGTGAACTACAGCTGCTCTACCAAGGCATGCAGGAGGAGCAGGAAAAACTGGTACAGAATCAAGAAGCTATATTAAAAGAACAATTAGAGCTGCACGAAAAGCTGCGTGTTTTCAAAGACTCTCATTTCCGGGAAGCGTTGGAGAATCTGAAAGGTTCCAAAGCGCCTATGTCCTCAAAATGTCAAAACAAGGTAACCGTAGCAAGAGGCAGGGAGAAGCTTGTGGGGACAGCAGCATGGCAGAGAAAGGGGCTGCACAGAGGGTCAGAGTGAGGAAGGCCCGTTTAGCCAGGAGTAAGGATGGGACTGAAACCCAGACCTGCCCCAGCCATGACCACTCATAGGTTATAGATCTGGCCCGATGACCTTACCCATATGCATGCCCAGCCAAGGCCCTGGGAACCCTTAGAACCAGGATGACCCGGAATCTGTAGTGCCTGATAATCTGACTCAATCCCTTCGAAATCTCATTTTCCAGATGTATAATATCACTTTAATGTTTGTTTGGATTCCTTGGGCCTGACTCTAAAGGCGTCACTCTTTTCTTCTGAGCTGGTTGATAACTGAGAAGTAATCTTTGCACTGATCAAAATCTACAACCTAGGGGCCAGCCGAATGGCTCAGTTGGTTAAGAGCTCGCTCAAGAGTTTGAGCTCTGAGCAACAGCGGTTCGAGTCCAGCCCGAGCTGAGCAGCCGCTGAGCTGCCAACAGGTAGCAGGATGGCTCAGCTTAAAAAAAAAAAAAAAAACTACAACCTTTTGGTATTCCACATGAGGCCAATATGGGGCCATATATTTCCAAAGGAAGAGGCCCTAGCATGTGGGATTCTTGGCCCTGACCACACTGTCTTCATTGGGACATTGGCAACAGTAACAGTCAGGTCAGGGAGGTTAGACACCAGCCAGGAGCAATGCCTCTGAGGCCTCACTGGTGGAGATTTCCATAGCAGTCTTTCAGGTTTGGGGCATGAATTTGGTGTGAGGTCTCCATGGGAGCAAGGAAAAACAGGTAGACCGTTTCAATTTAGGCAAAATCAATTCATTCAGATATTAGCCTGGACAGGGAGATCCAGGGACTAGCAGGAGTCCAAACTGAGATTTGGTCAGATTCCAAGGGCATCAGATTTCAGCCTGGATGACACAGAGACACGGAACCAGGTATAAAATATTTCCTTAACCGATCAGATCTCATCCTGGGCATCAGCGGCCAAGAAACCAGTCCCAGAGGGCCTGGGAAACATGCCCAGAGGCCAGACTCGGCATTGGGGCAGGAGGGACAGGGACTCGTGTGAGACCTTGATTCCAAGTCCATCTTCTGAGGAAGAAATTCTTCATATGTTCACATTTAAGGCCAGGACTGATTTTAGAATCGGGGGTGAGGGAGGGGACTGAGTCTTAAGATGAGAATAGTGGGTATACCTGACTGAGAATAGAGTAGGGTAGGGAGCCAGAGCGTTCTTCAGACCCACTCAGCACTGCTCCAAGGAGAGAGGGATGTACCTGAGTGCAGAAACAGCAGAAATGGGATATCTTGGAGTTATCTGCCCTGGGAGATACTCCCCAATGAGCAAGAAACTGACACATGCCAGTTACCTGTAGGCTAAGTCGATGACCTAGCTGTGGTGAGATGAGCGTAGGTGTGTAGTTTTCTCTAAAGTGTGTTCTCAGACGTTGGCACCAGGAGGGGTGCGGCTAGGAGGATGGCGGGGTTAGAGTAACCATACTGTCCCCATCCCTCCCGGCATTCCAAGGTGATCATCGCCCAGGTGCAGGCTCTGCAGGAGCTGTACGAGGCCAGCCAGACTGAGCAGGAGCTACTGCAGGAGGAGCAGAGGAAGCTCCTAGCGGAGCGGAAGACGCTGCAGGACGACTTGCAGCTGTGCCTGGAAGAAATGCAGTTGCTCCAAGCCCAGTCCCCTTCTTTAAAAATGAGCCTTGAGTCCTACAAGAAAAGTTATGGCAGCACAGCCGCCAGCAGCGAGAACTGTCAAAGGAGTTACGATGGCAGCACTGATGACAGCGAGAGCTACCACAAGAGTTATAGGAGCACCCAGGCCAGTGACGAGCACTTTCTCGAAAGCTGTGACAGCACCAGTACCAATGAGACCTGTGCAAAGAGTTACCGCACCAGCACCAGCAGCGTCACCTATAAGAAGAGTTACGGCAGCAGCAGCAGCTCTGACACCTCTTACAAGAGTTACGTCACCAGCAGCACTGATGACGAACCCGCTGAGCCTGAAGATATAGAGGTAAAAGTAGCCAGGTGACAGGTCAGGCCGGGAAAGAAGGTTCTTATCTTATTAAGAGCAGTCACAGAAGTGAGGTGGGCAGTGGGGTCAGAGCTGAGCTGGGGAACTCAACTGGACATAAATGAGGCACGCTGCCCATGTAATGCGGAGGTGCTTCCGTTCGGATGGAGGTCTGAGATTCAGGACTTTTCATCAGTGCAGTCACGGTGCTCTCTAGGGGGAGAGAGACAGTATTTCTCCTGGGCAGCTTCAGATCCTGTGGCCATTGTTTCTTACCCAAGGAAGGGCCTAGCAAAGAGAGTGGGGCGGAGGGCAGGTGCTGCCCAGGGTGCCACCATTACTCCCCCACCCTCCACAGCGCTTGGAGGACGTGGTCGCCCAGGTGCTGGTCAAGCTGCAGGGCGTGCAGGCCATGTACCAGCTCAGCCAGGAGGAGCACGACCATCTGCAAGAGCGGATGGGGAAGCTGCTGGACAAGCAGACGGAACTGAAGAAAGAGCTGGATGCCTGCGAAAAGGCATTCAGGGAGTGCATGGAGGACCTTGAGACTCCTGCTGGCTCCCAGAGCGACAAGGAGGAGGTAACGACCATCAGGGAGGCAGGGTTTCTCGTAGGAGTCCCTGGAGCCAGAGGAGGTGGTAGCCATTTCGGAGAGGGTCAGGGGCTCTCTGCCCACTCTGCATGGCTGCCCTCTTCCTGGTCAGACAGACAGAGCAGGGGCTAAATGTCAGGAGGCCGGGCAGTTTGCTGCATCACCGATGGACATTTCTCAGGTGCCCACTGTGCTGGCATTCACTGATCATCAAGACTCTTTGAAGAACTTTGCTTTTTTCGCTTTTGCTCTATGTCCTAGAGCACTTCTGTAGAGTTGTGTTTTTTTCACCTGCCAATTTTCTTTAGTTATTTTGTGTGTATTTATCTTGTGTCTTCAGCTAGATTATAAGCACATCCAGGACAGGTCTAGGTCTCCTCTTGCATCTCCCATAATGCCGAGAAGAGGGCTCTGCACCCACTAGCAATGGGACAGAAGGCATTGTCTTGGGCCAAGAGTAGCCCACAGTCCAGTGGGGGTCACTGGGTATGCATGGGAGAGGGTCAGAGAGCCATAGGCATGCGGGCCTGGGTTGCCTGGTATTGGTACCTACCAAGGAGACTCTGATGTGCTGCCAGAAGTCAGGAAAGATGGGACCAGAGCTTAGGAAGCAGGGTTGGGACCTGCCTCTGTTTCCAGGGAGAGCCGCAGGTGCTCAGGTACACTCTCAAGCGTGTCCAACACCGTTCCTCAGGTGATGGTACCTCGTAGGGAAGTAGCTTGGGTGAAGTCAGAGTTCTCATCAAAAATCACGATAGAATAAAGCCTGAGGTTCAGAAGGGGTAGCCATAGGGTTGTTCCCCAGGCAGGTCACAGTAAAAACAGAATTTCAGTCATCCTTGTTTGATCATGTTAGATATAAATCATCAGGTGCCTCAGGTTAGGAAGGAGCTGTTTGTAAAACTGCTGTAGAGGCTCCTATTCCACAGTTATGTGTTTTCTTTATTATCTACTCCTCTATGGGCTTTAGCAGGGAAATTTCTGCGGCAGTGACCGCCAGGCAGGGCCCAGGCGGACTGCGTAGGCCCCAGTGGGTAACAGGCCCTCCACTATCGACAGATCAGCGAACTGCAGAGTAGGCTACGGGAGCTGCAGCTGCAGTACCAGGCCAGCATGGACAAGCAGGGGTGGCTCCTGGCCGTGCGGGAGCAGTTGGAGGGGCAGCTGCAGTGCTGCCAGGAAGAGCTTCGCCAGCTCAAAGAGGAGAGGTCCTCTGCTACCAAAGACATCGAGGAAAAGAATGGCAGTAAGAGCATGAGCGAGAAAGCCAATGGGGTTAAAAATAAAAAGGCGACCACGCCAAGCCTGGAGAGTTTTGAGAGCAGCTGCAAGACCAAAGAGGTGAGTAGTAACATATGTAACCAGATGAGCAGAAAGGTAGGGCGATCCTGGGAAGAAGAATCATCTCTGCCACCGTTCCGACCAGGTGAGGGATCTGTAGAGAAGTTTCTGGGGTCTCTGAGGTATCTGGAGTAGTCTCATCTCAGTACCAATTGGGTCCTCCCTTTTCCAGTGAAGTTAAGGGGAGAGTGGAATACAGACTGCTCATATTTGGGGTGATAGCCCCAAAGGACCACAGCCCTGAGGCTGGTTAACTGCTTCAGTTAACCCAGCCCAATTTCCTGGGGCCCCTGTTCTTCCTGGGTCCCAAGCCCAAGAGAAGGACCAAATGGATGAAAAGAGGAATTTATTCAAAGCAGCTGTGTATATGTAAGTGAAAGGAGACTGGGTAGAATAGGCATCTCCATGTAGGAGTAGGGAGAGCAGTTGAGGTGCAGAGCTCAAGAACCTGGCAGCCGTCTGAAATGGCTGATGGGCTGTGGGCCCCCAGAGGCTGGGCGTGGCTGCCCTCACACTGTGCGGGGAGACCCACTCAGTCCCGCTGACATGCGGGCCGCACCCCGGAAGGCGCTGGGAAGCGCAGGTTCCTGAGCCAGTTCAGCAGTGTCTTGAGGGTCGGGACCTTCGCAGGTAGCATCGCCCATCCTGCCCCACCTCCGCCCCACAGAGTCTGGAGGTGGTGCTGTACTACAAGGCCAGCCACGTGGAGTTAGATGTTCTAACATCCGAGGAAAAGGAAGAGGAGACGGAGGAGGAAAAGAGGGAGGAAGCGGAAGAGGAACCGAAGGAGGAGTCCCGGGATGAGCTAGTTTCTGAGCCCTCAGATCTTATAGAAATGAAGCCCACAGAAAATGAGGCGGAAGAGGAGGAGGGGCTAGAAGAGTCCGAAGACCAGGAGGGTAAGGAAGAAGACAGCCGTGATGAGGAGGCCAACGACGCATCCCCTGAAGCTTCAGGCGACAACAGCCCCCTCACAGAATCTGAGAGCAAAAAGGTAACCGCAGCCAAAGGCAGACCAAGTGGGACATGGGCTCCTGGGCTCGGGCGCCCCCCGTGTTCGGGGTGACGCAGCCCCAGGATGGACTCCTACAGGAGTAGAGGCCAGCGAGCCCTGAGGCATAGCCCTCGGGGAGAGCAGACACGGAGGCAGGAAACAGGGAGAGTGGTCTCTGTGGGTAATGGCAGGCTTAGACTGACATGGAACCATCTCACACAGCCCACCTGTGCTGGGGACCAAGGCGGGGTCGTTCGTTTCACTTACATGGTAGCCCTTGTTACTTATGTCAGGAGGGCGCTCCCCCTCCCTTAGTGCTGCCTTCCGTCAGCCTGGGCCAGTCACTCAGTCCTCCTTTCTCAAAGCACCCTGTAAAGCTTGACCTTTGTTTGTTGCTATTAGGAGTCGGGCGGGGGGACTGGTGTCACTCACAGGGTTTTATATATTACAAGGCGTGAGGGTGGGGGCCTGGGGTGATCGGAAGTTATAGAAGAGTTCAGTCTGTACATGAGGGGCATTGACCAGTGCAGGGACACCAGCCAGAGCCCTAACCCTTTAGTTGCTGGCTCTTGAGAGGTTGGGGTGGGAGTATCCTGGGAAATTGACCAACTGCACAAAAATATTTCTGTATTTTAACAACCGGTGTTAACATCTGTTCAGATACGTAGCAGCTGAATTCCTGCCCTGATTGAGGTTAACGGGGGGCTCTGGCTCCCTGAAGCGTTTGAATGCTTTCTGAATGAGTCCTCAGTTTACAGTGCAGGTTCTTTCTGTCCTCCTAAACACGGGGGGAAGAAAATAAGTGTCCTGTGGTGGGATGTCCCAGTCATCTGTAAGACTATCTGGAATTTTCAGACAGTTCGGTCTGCAGTGCTGGCTGAGGATACAGCGTGCAGTCCTCTGTTCACCTTGTGGTAGGCCATTACTTAGGGGGTGAAAAGTGGGAGCAACCCACTGGCATATGTGTTACCGTCTGCTAACTCAGTTTCTCTCTGGAAGATTATTGCAGTGAAAGAGCTAGGCCCTTCTCTGCTGTTAGCTTGTCTTAGTGCATTTTGTCTCACAACTACAGCGTCACACTCCTAGGGGATCGTAGGGACCAAAGCCCCGAACACTTGAGAGGCTTGGTGGAAAGCAGCCAGAACAAGGGGCTGATAAAGGGACAGGTGGCCGGGCAGGAGATGGGCGCTGCCTCGGGTGACCCAGGCAAAGCACACATCCTGCTCATCTGGAGGGAGAGCCCAGCGTGACTCACCAGAGCTTCACTTTTTCAGTTACTGACCTACAGGAAAGGTCTAGGTGCAGATCACCTCAGTTTGACAAGATGTGAGAGGGATATGACACCCTCTCACCTGATTTGGACCCAAGCTGCGGTTAAACCCGTTCCGTTTTGCATCTCCTGGAAGCTACCAGGGGGAAGACCCAGGCCCAGGTAGCAGAGAAGAAATACTTCTGCTCTCGCTGACCAGTTGTTTAACCTCTTAATCTCTCTCTCTTTTCCCTTTGTTTCCTCATCTTCATTATCTGTTGGATTCATGTGTTTATGTCTTTTGTTGCCACCTCTCATCTCCTGGTCTCTCCTTGTGCTTCTTTCTCATTCGACATGTTACAGCCATCCCCTGCCCCCAGCCCCCCCATCTTCTCCTTGCCTCTCGTAGGCCTGGTGGTCATACTGGCTTTGCTCTGGTGCTGGTGGGCCGAGACGTCGTCCTAACGCAGGTACTGGTATAGCGTCCTCTCCTTCGGAGGGATCGAGGGAGGGTGCAGGTTGCTCTGGCCTCTTCTCTTTCCCTTTTCTCTCGCCTGCTTGCTTCTTGCTTTTGCCGTTTCCTAACAGGCATGACTCAGGTCTGGGTGTTAGCCCGGGCTTTTCCTCGGGCTACGGCAGAGCCTGTGACATCTCGGAGCATGTCTTCGTAACACATAGGGAGTTGGAATGCTTACCGCTGACATGGTTTGAGTTTCTGTCTTCTGGCTGGGAAAAATTTGGATGATCCCAGCACTGTTGCTACTTTCAGAGCTGCCTGGCGATTGTTGGCTGCCTACAAGGCAGGCCTGGGTGCTCTTTGTCTTTGTTTAACCCCAGAGCCAAGCTTTTACTGTTGTCACTACCCAGGATGACACAACAAGGAATCACTGTCTCCACTGTTGGGCGAGAGAGGACGTCTGGAGAGCTGTGATCTCCCCCTGCCACCCCCCAGGCTCATGTGTGTGAGGGCCACCTCAATTTGCCCTTCAACCTTGGGGGAAATGGAACTGAAACCCCTACCATATCACACACTTTCTACTGAGAACTTCTCTGAGTTGGGGCTTCTGGTCTCCAGAAAAACCTGAATAAGGATGCCAGGAAATATTTTCCAGTCCTCTGTTTATCCGTTTTGGGGACTGGATTCTATTGTAATGGGCTTCCCAAGCTGGGCTTTCTGCAGAGAACGTGGTATTGGTGAAACGTTCCCACCAAGCAGAGACGCAAGTGTTCACGGGGAACCAAGGCTGGTATGTGCTGGGTGTCTTCCAGTGTGCCAGTCCATGTCATCTGGCCTGTCAACAGGTTACCAAAATCAGGAGGCAGAATGTGGTCTTATGGCCTAAGGAAGGGTTCTGCCTGCCTTCCGGAACCCATAAACTGTTCTCTCTTGGTCTGTTTTGGCTGATTTCTCACACTCCCTCGGCCACTTCCACTCCCCCACCCTCTCTCCTCACATTCCTGTAAATGGAGTGTGGTTGGCTTAATGCATAGGTTCAGAGTGGCAGCGGAAGCATTTGTTGGTAGCTCTTATCACCGTTTCCTTCTCTCTCCTTCCTTTATTCCCCTCTCACTTTTTTTTCCCTTCACTGCTTCTCTTTTTTTCTTTCTTTTAGGCATTCCAGTTATGCCCCACAGACAGCCTTTAAATCCTTTAGTGACAAGGGTCTCTCTGTACCTGTTCCTCCCCTGTACACTTCCAGAATTCTAAGTCCCTTTGGGATGACACCCAGGGCATTCGGCCATAACATTTCGCCAACTCAAGCTCAGCCAGGCCCAAGCAGAGAAAGAGGAAGGAGCTGCAGGATAAGGGTCCCCCCGGGGGGGCCTGTTATGCCAGGGCCTGGCTGCACCCCAATATGTGGCTCCCCAGCCAGGAATCAAGGCAGTGTAGTACAGTAGGAACTGGCTGACAAGTGGTCAGAGAACTTGGCTGAGCCTGTCTCTGCTTTTCATAGCTTAGTCCCGCTGGCAAAATGCATAATCTGAACTTTAGTTTCTTTGACTATAAACAAAGGATGATAAAACCTCTGTCTTCCTCACTGAGGATCAGATAAGTTCATGTATATAAAAGCACTTTACAAATAATAAAACAAATAATAAAAAGAATATACACTTACATAGAACAAACTACGTGCCACGCACTGTTGTAATCGCCGTATCTGTATTAACTCATTTAATTCTTGCAACAACCCTGTGAGGTAGCTGTTATTATTATCATTTGATATGTGATAAAAAGCAAGGCACAGAGGTTAAATAATAGAGCCAGGACATGGTGAATCAGAGTGTAAGGACTTAACATTAGCAACATAACATTCCAGTCCTGTTTCCCCTTCTCTCTCCTCACTTTCAGCAATTTTCTCCTGGTTGCTTCCAAGTAATTAGGAAGACACCATACTTGATGCAGCCTCAGCTCACATTAGCTCTTTTGATGACTGATATCACACTGTTAACTTATTTCATGTATTGTTTATAAAACCCCTTTGCACCTTGCATATGCTAAGCATCCTCTCCCCATTCTCTACCTGCAGTTGATTTTTCGGGTCCACAGCAGGATTTCCCATCCATCCCTATTAGAGATAAACTATTAGGGACAGCCGAGTGGCTCAGTTGGTTAAGAGCTCGCTCAAGAGTTTGAGCTCTGAGCAACAGCAGTTTGATGCCTGGCCCGAGCTGAGCTGCCGCTGAGCTGCCAATAGGTAGCAGGATGGCTCAGCTAAAAAAAAAACCAAAAAAACAATGTGTATAGAGATAAACTATTGATCTAACCTGTGAAGTTATTTTGTTTTGTTTTTTAAGTCTTGACTCTGGTTTCGAAATGTTCCCTTTCCCGACCAGCTTCACATGCTCAGGGGACAAGCCCACCCTCATATCCTCATTCGTGTTGCAGGTGAGGGCCAAGCCTCTCGCGTGTCATCTCTCCAGGCTCTTTTCGCCAGCACATTGGTCATACAACAAACTGTGCTGTCAACCTACTCTTATTTTCTAATAGTCTCTCCAATGATATCATGGAAAGCATGGTCAAACACTTCCCTTGTTTATTTGGCAGAATATTTATTCAAGAAAAAGTAATTCTTTTTTTGTTTTGTTTTGTTTTTTTGTTACAGCTGATATTCAGTATTAGTTTCAGGTGTACAGCATAGCGGTTAGACATTTACATAGCTTATGAAGTGATGCCCCGCCTCAATAGGTCTAGTGCCCACCTGGCACCATACATAGTCATTACAATATCATTGACTATATTCCCTCTGCTGTACCGTCCATCCCTGTGACTATTATGTAACTACCAATTTGTACTTCTTAATCCCTTCCCCTTTTCACCCAGCCTCCCAAATCCCCTCCCCTCTGGCAACCATCCATTTGTTCTCTGTATCTATGAGCCTGTTTCTGTTTTTAACACCTTGATTAAGTCTAAGTCATAATTTTCTTGACCTGTGCATTTAGTAACCCAGGCTGAAAGGAGCAACTGACATGACTCGCCCCTTTGAGACACCCACACCGGCCCTATGTTAGAATCTTGCCTCTGCCTGGTATAACGGGTGTCAGTTCACATTTATGGGTTTCTGCTCTTTCCTCCTGTAAGCGCATCACACTGACATTTTTAGCAGCGCACATTAGGATAGAAGCATCTGAGCATGTGAATGTTGTTTCTAGCTCCCTCTTCAGTTATTTTCTTACATGAATCGCTCTGTATACCCACGTCCAACGTTGTTTTGCCTACCATTTCACAGCTTATATTCTTTTTAGTAACTCTTTCTACAAGTGTGGGAGCTTTTCTTTGCTCTTTCTAGTTGGCTTAAAATCCTCACTTTAGATCCATTATTCTCGGAGCAAATGCATTCTTAGCATTAATGGGGTGTTTGTCCTTACCTAAAACCATCCTTCTGTTACTGTATGCCATAGTTAACAACTCAAAACGCAAATTCTGTCTTTCCAGTAATATAGTAAAAAAATAATAATAATAAGGTAATAAAAATAGGAACTATTTTCCCAAGTATGTTTTTTGTGTGTGTGTCCAAGATTTCATGTTCCCTAAATGATGCTTTTGTCTGATGAATCAGCAGGATTTGCTATGGTCAGCAGGGTCTGGAAGCCTCCACATACTCCAGCACTTGCTTAGGAAGCCAGTCAACACACCCCATGACTGGGATGTTTCAGTGACCCTGGCATTTGCCTCCCAGGGCCAGTGTCCGGCTTCCTTGAATTTCCTTGAGCCAACATCATTCTCCACAAAGGTTTTGGGCTGCATCCGAGCCTCCTATTTGCCTGCACTCCGTGCTGCACTTTCTTCACTCCCCCCTCTGTCTTCACATCCTCTTGATTCAGCTCATTCTCCTCCGTAAAGCGAGTGAGGTGCTGCTGCTTTCCCCAAAGGCCCACATCGACCCTCTTTTTTTGCTCTGGCGTCTGACCCTTTCTCGCTGCACTCACTTGGCTGCTCTGAAGTCTGGCTCACAGGACCTGGTGGTGTTCTCGTTCTGTGGGGCGTGCAAACAGGCAGTCACCTCAGGGGATACACGTGGTGTTCCGGGTATCTAGTGGTGCCGGGACTCAGACTGCATTGTCTCCAGCGGTTACCCAGGAGGTAAGAGGGAACCGACCATGACGGTCCCGAGGTGTCTCCAGCACCAGTAGGCAGGGGTCTCTGGCTTAGGGAAGGGTTTGGAAAGCGAGGCACTCACCATTTGTCTTTGGTCCCCACAGAACATGTTTGGGATGTGGAAGCCTATGGTGTTCTTGGCTCTTGCAGCTGTGGCTCTGTATGTGTTACCCAACATGCGACAGCAGGAGACAGAGTTCTGCCTCATGGAGTGATGGCAGACCTGGGCCAGCCGAGGGGGCAAATCCCCAGTGGCTACCACCCTCAGCTTTGGCCAGGACACACTGTGCCAGAGCCCCCGCCCGCCCATATGTCCCATGTGTCCCCATCTTCTTAGCCTTAGTCACCCACGCTGGAAAGGCTTATGGGGAGCTGCTGGCTCCCATCTCCTGCCTTGTGTAAGAACCTGGGTTCCTTGTAATTAAATATCAACCTAATTACATGAGACTTTGTGGCTTCTTCTTTGCTGTTAAATACCTTACAACACAACCAGAACAGAATGGGTCCCCTTAAGCCAGGTCCTGCACATAAAGGTCTGACTCCCAAATATGATGGCTCACACATGACCTCAGAAATGTGGCTGGCTCCTGTGCTGCCAGCTGAATCACAGATGGATTGGTCTGTCCTGTTAACCCTGTCTCAAAGAACTCATCTGAGCACAGAGAAATGGAATGAACCGGGTACTTTAGGTGAGGGGGGCCCAATGACCTGTCCTTAGGCTCTGTCCCCACACCTGTCTCCTGTGAGGAAGATGCCCTGAGATCAGCACGTGAGCCTCCGTAGCTTAGTCCCGACTTCTCAAGGGATTCGTTCTCAGAGATGACTTATCGATCACTCAGGGTCCTGGCAGTAAACAGGCGGCACACTCAAAAGCTTTAACTGAGAAGTTTAATGAAGGGACGATGTACAGAAGGCAGTTAGGAGAACTGACAAGGAATAGCGAAGTCCTCGGGCACCAGCCACAGTGGAAAGTGGCCACCGCCCCAGGCCTGATGGGAAAGGGGAGAAAGCGGGGAGCTGGAGGCCTGAAAAGTGGCCCCAGACGCATACAGTGGCCACAGGGGGTTGCGGCTCTTATCAGAGCCACGACAAAGCGAGGAGCTTATGTCCTCTCCCACCCTCTTCCCGCCTGTCACGTTCCTGTTGGTACCTCTCTTTGGCAGATCCCTCTGGGAGCCAGAGCAGAGGTGCCCAGGTGACATTTCAAGGTCAGCTTCTTGAAGTTCAGAGCAGGACAAAGGATTGAGAGTAAGTCTCAGTGGGGACAAGCAGAATGATGGGGTTAATTTACGACTGTCCTTGTGATTGGTTGTTCTGATCATGAATGTTTCCATATGAAAGGCCCCAAGTGTATTCATAAGCCACAGCGGACAGAATGGCCCCCATGACGGCGGGTTTCCTGGGACCTCTCTCTCTGCCTCCTTTCCACCTGATGCCAGGAGTCTGTTCCATTCACCCAGATAATCCAAAGCAACCTATAGAGCGTGTAGAGTGGTGGACACTGCGAAGCACTAAGTGAATTCATTTCTTCCCCGGCCTTTCCTAGTGAGAGTAGCAAGGACATTTCGAATTAGGAGATTTTTAAGTTGTGTGCAGCCCAGAGGAGTGACAAGTCTGAACTGGAAGTGCACCCTAGCAGGCCTGAGGGCAGTGCCACGCGTCCCTTTGCCTCCCTCTAAATGACTACTCTTTGATGATTGTACTGACTTAGGGGTGCCTAGCCCCCCAGCTACTCCCACGGATCCACAGACCAAAAGTTAGCATTGAGCTTGTTGGAAGGGCAGAGTCTCAGGCCATACATACCTCAGACCTGCTGACACAGTATCTGCATTTTAACAAAATCCCTTTAATATGCACAATAAAATTTGAGAAGCACTACCCTCAATTATATTAGATTGTGTGTTCTCAATTGTAATCTAATGAAAGAAATTCTTTCACAACCCATCTGGGACCACTGGCCCCTTGCTGTTGAGGGTAGTGAAACCCTGCTTTTTATCTACTACACCCCGGCCACCAGTTGGCTGGAGAAGGTATGTGGTAGAAGAGACTGAACCATTGTCACCCCAATAAATTTTAATGAAAGAAAGAAAAGAAAAGAGAGTAAGAAAGGAAAGAAAAAGAGAAAGAAAAGACTGGAAGGTTACCTACTACAAAAGATCACCGATTTAACTTGGAATTAGAAGACAAGGTGGAGGTAGTGGTCTGGAAGGCAACTGGCCCGCAGTCAGGACTTTATCTGGTCCTTCCCAGGCCCAAATCTAGAGCCTGGGCAATGACAGCAAAATGGTCCTGCTTTTCCCTAGCCCTTTTGCTTAGACTACAGAGCTCTTCCCTTTAGGACACTTGGCTCCTGTTGGGTCATTTTAGAATGCTGGCCTCTTCATCCTTTTAGGCTTTGACTCCTAGTCTTGTTTACACACTGTTACCAGAGCAGATCAAAGCGGTCTCTCTGTGTTGAATGTGAAACGGTCACTTGAGCTAGCTTTAGGGGTGTCTCCTAGAAGCCCCAGGCAGGCATGCACCCAGGCTGGGGTACAGATGGAACCAAGGACTCAAAACACCTTCAGGGGCCTCCATCTCCCACCCTACTGCCCTCTCTGTATAACTGCTACTTTTCTGCTCTCTCCCTGCACAACAGCCCCCCTCTGCCTTCTCCTCCCAGGCCACGTGGTAGAGCACACCACCTGCCACTCCTGTCAAGGACCAACTGCTATTGGGGAGCGGGGTGGGTGGTTCTAAAGATCAGAAGTACTCTGGTTCTGATTCTGGCAGGTGGATTCAGGGTTTCGGGACGGGAAGACGAGTAGTGTGGAGACCCTGGCAGTGGACTCTACAGGAGATAAGAGACAGAGCTGGGAGGAAGGCCTAGCTCAACAGACCCTATGTGGTCCCCGAGATACTAGCAGAGAAAGCAGACTAACTTTTTTTTCTGGTCACCTATTAGCGGCCAGGCACCATGCTAATCATTTTACATGTTCCCTCCTTTCATCTCCATACATAAAAACATCCCCATGACAGCACTATTAACTCCATTTTACAGATGAGAAAACTGAAGCCCAAAAGAGTTACATTACCTGCCCTGGCACCCAGGTCAGGGCCTCGTCAGTATCACTGATTGATCCAAGTACCTGCTGTGAGCCTGGCCAGCCTGCTATCACAAACAGGTGGCTGTGGAAATGTCCGTGGCTCCAGAAAACTGGGAGTCTCAAACATGGCCCATTGGACCTGCTCACTCAGACTCTGCTTAGCCCAGGTTAATTACGGCCACTGTCCGTGGCTGATGAGCCCCTTGTCGGGAGGAGCAGGACAAGGTGAAAGGCCAGGCAACCTGGTCCTCTGAGACAGGTCAGCGGGTGGTGAGTCAGGGGGCTATAAACAGCCTATGGCCCCAGCCAGCACTGCCCCAAATACTCAGCTGATGAAACCCCCCTGTAGGACCCTCTATGTGCCCCTGACTGGCTCAGCCCTCCTCAGGGAGGCGGCCCCACTTGGCAGGCCCCAGGCCCAGCATTGCGCACGGTCTGTTCCAGCCCTCATGGCCAGCCAGGCCTGAGGCCTGGGCTCATGGGCTATATTGAGGGCTGAGTCACCAGCCTGCGCCAGGGTCAGGCTGCTGTGACTGGCTGGCTGGGGCCTGAGTCAGGCCCCGATTTATCCTGGAGAGCAACAGGCTCAGGTTTCTGGGGAAGGGGGGTAAGGAGGGTGCTGGGAACCATCCTTGGCACTGGGCACCCTGCTCTACTGAGACCATTCACTTACTCCTCTGGGGCCTCATACGGACCTCTCCTGGAGAGGGAATGAGAAGGGGGAGAGAGGAGACTCCGTTGTCCACTCACTGGCTTCCCTCTGTACCCTCCTACCTTAATGGAGGAACTTCACTGACTGGGGGAACACATCAAGTAATGCCCACAAAACAGGACCATGAGCCACTGGGATTTGTAGAGGGCTGTTGGCTCCAAGGAAACCCACCCTACCCCGTTCTCTCCTCCCCAGCAGCTCAGAGAGAGGAATCTCTCCTTGCTCAGATCAGTACCTCAGTTTCTTCATCAGGGCTTCAAAGACAACATCGCTGAATCCTGAGCTGGCATCTCAGGTTGGGTGTCAGAAGCCTGCCTTTTTTTACACACACACACACACACACACACACACACACACACACACACAGTTCCCTTGTGAGACCCAGCTATGTGTCATGTGTCCCCAGGAGCTGGGCATCTCTCCACAGGAGAGCTCAGCCTCTCGAGTGGACAGACAACACTGATGCCTGGTGGTTGGTTTTGGCCCTAGGACAAAGGTGGCATGGGGGAATGAGAATTGTGGAGATAGGGAAGGGGGGTGCCAGTAGGAGAGTGGAATTCCTGAGCACCTCGTCACAGGCAGCCGACAGAACATGAGCCGCAGGGCTCAGGCTATTTATACCTTGCCTGTCACTATCAGGGCCCCCAGAGCTCCCCCCCGCCAAGCCACACACAGCAGTTCTCTTTTCTGTTTCTGGCCCCTTCTCTACTCCTCCCCCTCCCTACCTAATGAGAAGGGAAAGAAATCACTCATGGACCCCTTTCACATAAGCACTGGCCCCCACAAAACCCCTGAGCTGCTTTCCGAGCTCCATAACGGGGACAGCCCTCATCCTGCCCTTGGGAAACAGCCTTCAACGAATCCCATTCTCCCCTTTCTTTTCACTGGGCCTGGGTGTTGAAGAGGAATAAGGGAGAATACGAATTACCTATAAGGTTCCAGAACCTTCCCAAACTTCAGTTATCACACAGCTTGAGTTGGGGGATGTCTGACCCAAACGTGTTCTTGAAGAATGGGAAAGCTGAGGAAATACAGCCCAAAGGGGGGTACCAGGGGATACGGAACCCATGCATGCTACGGAGTTATGGAATTGATGCTCTCTGTATATAGAAGGATATTCTATGGCTCTGTCATCCCAGGCCAGCTCCTCGGTTTGACTGGCCCAAGTTTCCTTGCTGTCACCATTCCCTCGCCTGCCTTTTGCTTATGCTGAGCCCAGTCCTGCCTGGGCTTCCTGGCTCGCTCCCTTGGGCTCACCCTGCCCACCAGCCCCTGTCACGTTTCCCCTTGGCCGCTCCGGGCAGGGCTCTCCCTCTTTCTGTCTGGCTAACCCGCCCTTTCACTGGAAGGATCTGCCCTGTGGCTCAAATGGGCACCTTGCCCAGGGGGCTCCCTGCTACTACAGGGCAGTCTCTCTCTCCTTCCCACTCATCACCTTGGTTGAGTCAGACCTAGGGGGGTGCACAGTGTGACTCACTGGGTACTCTTTCCCTGAGCTCAGCCTCATTCTGAGGGGATGAGGCCAAACAGGCTGGTGACAGGGACACTGAGTCAGGGGCAGCCTCAGTCTTTCTCCTGGGACCCCGGGGTTTGGGCTTCAAACTAGGCTTTTCTAACTGTAAAAGTGGAGCACCCTACCACCACCACCA